CACAGGTTTGTCCCACACGGGTTTGTCCTACATGGGTTTGTCCTACATGGGTTTGTCCTACACAGGTTTGTCCTACACAGGTTTGTCCTACATGGGTTTGTCCTACACAGGCCCTTGTCCACTCTCTCAGGCCCCTTCTCCTATCCTACAGGTGGGATCCCAACAGACGGGAACAGCACCAGTAACAGCACAGGTAACACCTCCAACCTGTCGGGCTCTTCCCCACGTCCCCACGGTGCCTCCCATCCATGGGGCTGCCCGTCCCCAGCAGAGCTGGAGGTGCCCCAAAGCCCTTCTCCAGGCTGTGCCCTCCTCCATGGCACATCCCCAACCCCACATGGGCACACAGCCGGATCCGCTTTGCCTCTCTGATAACGGGGCTGTCATTTGGGAGCACACCTCCGACGAGGTGCGGGAAGAGAGGGGTGGGAGCACCAAGCAACCATTCCGTTGAAGCCGCTCCCATAGAAAACCATGAGTCTGCACTCAAAGCCTGCCGGCTTGCCGTGCCCACCCGTGTCCCCCGTAGGCAGCGGGTGCTTCGGGCTGTGGCAGCACCCACGCTACATGGCTGCCAAGAAGAACACGCCTGTCCACTTCATCTGCTACACCCGTCAGCCCCACGCCATGCAGTGGTACAAAGCGCCGGCGGATGGAGAGGAGTTCCAAGCGCTGGATCAGAGCTCCGATCGCTTCAGCATCAAGAGTACAAACGATTACATCAACTTCACCATCTTCAGGATCAGCTACGAGGACAACGGCATCTACGTGTGCGACAGCAAGAACCTCACGGAGGAGAAGAGGCAGCCCTACTTGTGTGGGACGGAGCTCAGAGTCATGAGTGAGTGGCAGTCCCATCGCTTCCATCACTTCCCTTGCTTCTCCATTTTTTTTCACCTTTTTCCCAACTCTGTAAACCTTACATCACGCTCCTGTGCACCCAGTTCTCCCTGCGCTGGACGCACGAAATGTGCCATCCTGTCTGGGATGGCCATCATGGGTTTGCCCACATGGGCTTCAGATCAGCAGTGGGTGCTGCATCACACAGCAGGTGGCTCTTTGTATGCAGTCTGCCCATCTCACAGTCGCATCCCAGACATTTCCTCACACAAACCACATTCTCCCTGCTCCTGGTCTTGCTCAGGACGTCCCATAGTGGAGCTGGCCCCCGATGCCAGCCCCAGCAGGTTGCAGTGCTCTGGTCTCTCCCAGGGGACATCGTCCCATTCCCCTCCTCTCTGTGTCCCCAGCCATTGGGAGCGTGGCACAGAGAGGGGACTTGGGGTTTTCCCTGTTCTGCTGCTCCCAGGTCGCAGCAACATCCAGCAGATCCAGAACAGGAACACGCTGAAGGACACCATCATCATCATCCAGACCATCCTGCTGGTCATCTTCATCAGCGTCCCCATGCTCCTCTTCCTAGAAAAGGTGAGCGACAGCATCCCCAGTAGTGGGGCCGTCCCTGGTTTTGGCACTGCCATTCTCCCAGTGGTGCCCCACGTCCTGGGCAAGGCAGCAAGTGCAAGACTGTGTTTGGGGCCATTGAATGGGAGCATTTCATGGGGTGTGGGACTGCCTGTGGGGGCTGTGGGACCTGGCCTTGGGGCAGGGGATGGAGGACCCCACAGCACGCTGTGCTGGTGACACTCAGCCTGTGACTTTCTTCTCCATAGGGTGATGGAAAGGAAAGCCCCGAGGAAGACCACACCTATGAGGTAATGCTGCATGAATGATCAGAACACCTCTACAAAATCAGCCTGACCCTTGGATTAGCCAGCTGTGCTCTCCTGGGTGTCTGCCACCAGCCCTTGTAGGGCATACAGAGCACGTTCATCCCCAGTGCTTGATGCACGTTGTCCATAAAGAGCTGTGGATACGGGCCAAGCCAAGCTCTGTGCATGTTCACCCACCTATCACCATCTCCTCCCATCCCAGAAGCTGCCTTCTTCCCTGGGGGAACACTCCAGGGATGGATCCCTGCTGGGGGTTCCTCGTATCCCAACCTCTTCCTTCTTGGCAGGGCCTGGAGGTGGAGCAGATTGCCACCTACGAGGACATCACTCCTTTCCGGGACATGAAGGCCAAATGGACAGTGGGGGAGCACCCAGGAGAGGAGTGAGGGGTGCTGCCCCCACCACCAGGATGGCATCAGCAGCACCACCCCATGGCAGCACCACACTGGCGCCACCACGGACCTGCAAGGACTTGGTGCCACCACCTCCAGCTGCCTTGTACAGAGCTCAGGTCCTGCTGCCTCTCAGCTCTCGCTTGGTCGCATCCAAACTGCGCAAGCGAGACTGTCCTGCCCTGGCTGCTGCCCATCCTGCCCCACTGCTCAACCCCAAAACCCTACATAGATATTAGGAACCAACCTCAGAGCCCAGCAGCCCCAAATGCCAGGCAGCCCCACACCACGGTGCTGAGCTGTGGCATGGTTACTGCCACCAAGGTGCTACGCTGGTGACCCCATGGACAGACACAATTCCCCCCCACGCTGCAAGGACCCTGCCGGGCTGTGAGACCCCCCACAGCCCCGTGCTCCTGGTAGGGGAGCCATGCGAGCAGCACCGTGGGGCTGGTAGATCTGGGGCCACTGCGTTCTCTCTCAAGCCACAGACGCGTCCAGTTGGCCAAGCTGGAAGTTGACGAAGTTGGTTGTTGTCTGAGATGGAGGATCCTCCACCAGTGCCTTGTTTTATCCCATAGACTTGAGGGAAGACCAGGGAGACAACGGGCACACGGAGGGCTTGCTCCTCTCCAGGAGGAGCTGCGTCACAGCGATGTACCCCCGGTGAGAACCGATGGGGAGGATGTAAATAGCGGGACACAAACGTCCAACTGCTCTTTCAAGTCCTAATAAAGGTGCAGGGTGAATTCCCACCTTGCACACCTGCAGGCATCCGAGCTGCGTTGTACCGTGCCCAGCCCTGGCGCTGGGGGTGTTGGGGTGGCAATGGGCTGAAGGTCCCTCGTGGGGCGGCTGCAGCGGGCAGCTCACTGCGCCTCGGCCCCGAGGAGAAGCAGACGGGACTGCGCTGCTTCCTGAAACAGCCTGCAGAGCCTGAGGGTAAACTGTGAGGAAACAGGGCTGCTCAGCAGGGAGAAACGAGCCCCGGTTCCCAAGCTGTGCAGGATTTCAGGGCTCAGCCCTCCGCGCCATTTCCAGCGATGAAATGGAAGAGGAAGGAGAGTGTTTCAGCCTTCCCAGCGCCCAACTGCTTTCTCTGCTCTGTAAACAAGTCACCCAACGAGCAGAGCCACGCAGACACGCAGCGCCTGCAGCTGCACCTGCAGAGGAAACCACTGGTGACAAAAGCAGTTTCAGTGACCCCAGTTCCGCTCTGCTGCCTGGCTGCTCTTAGCACGGGGCCTCAGCTTCCTTTGAAACGTCAGAAGCAAATAAATATTTCTGCATTGCTGCGTTATTTTAAATGCTTAAATTAGCTTCTAGGAAGCAGAGAGAGGGGTTTTGTTGTAGTTTTATACTGAAATAGGTCTGCATTTAAAGCGCAGTCGGTGTAAATAAGTGTGGGCCGGTATGTACAGCCCAGGCTGTGATATGGCCCGATTTGTATCCAGCCCTGGGGGGGGCTGGGCGCACACACACCTGCAGGGAACATTGCCTCCTCTGTCCAAACGCTGCTGGGGCGCGAGCAGCAAAGCAGGAGGATGTGGGACCACCGGGGAAGGAAAGGGAGGGGGAAAGGGGAAGAGGGAAAGAGAAAAGGGAAGGGAAGGAAAAGGGAAGGAAAAGGATTCCTTCTTTCAAATAAGAACAGGATTTTGGAGGACACTGAGCGTCACGCTGCTTTCTGACACGACCCTTTGGATGCACACGTGGGCACGTGAAAGGCAGAAGGATGCCAAGCTGATATCTGAGAGCTGCTTATGCAACTGTCACTGTGGCAGTGGCATGCGATCTCAGCGACACACCGCCTTCTGCCCCACTGAAGGCAAGTAGGGGGGGAAACGGCCCTCTAGGGCAGTGCACAGCATGGAACGTGGCATCTCCTGGCTGCAAGATGGAAAGGGTTGGCTTTTCATGCTGTGCTTTTACTCACAGGGCTGCAGGGGCAGCAGGGCAGCGGGGCTCGGTGCCGCTGCTGTGGCTTCACTGCTAACAGCAGCAGAGCCTGGTGCCTGCTGCTCTGCTCACCTCTGACAAACATGGGCATATTTAAACAGCCCGGAGCAGAAAAACACCCCCAGATGTTGCTGGCTATTGGGTGACCGGATACCTGATAGCTGCAGGACCCACTGTTCCCTCTCCTCTAGGGACTGACATTTACACGCGGGGCTTCTCGGAACAGCTCGTTTATTAACGAGCTCTCACACCCTGCACTGCGGTGATGATGCTGCTCTTGGAAATCAGAGCCAAACCAGGGGCAGGTTGGACCCACAGCCAGGGGGGCAAAGTGCTGTCGGTGCCCTATGGGGAGTGAAAGCCCTCCTGCAGTCGTCCACCCCAGGTTCCGCCTCGTGCGGCTCGGGGAAAGGTGTGCTGGGGCTTCTGCTCTTCCCCTTCTTCTCTTCCTCCTCTCCACACCGCTCCTCTGCTTAATGCAGAGCCGTCTCTCATTCCTACCAGGCAGAAGCAGAAAGCAGCTGACTGTGGGTTTTTTCTCACAAAGCACAAGGCTGTGGGATCACTGCGATCGCCAGACCCCAAAGCTTTGTCCAAAGGAGGAGCTGAGAGACGTCCCAGAGCTCTGCCACTGGCTTCTGCATGGGCAGGTGGATCCAAGCGAGCACTGCCTGGGAAGCTCTTCTGACAACAGCCATCCCAACCCCACTACATGGGGAGCCATCCCACCTGCTCTAAGCCAGAAGTGCCCTGTGCTGCCCTGCCGGCCCCGTGAACTGTGGGGCAGAAAAACCAGGCAGGAAAACCAGCTGGATTTTCTACCTGTGTGGGAAATCCCCCCGTGTAAGCACAGAACAGATTTGGGATGGGTTTTCCAACGGTGATACAACCTCTGGTTGCAATAAACAGCAGAATATGAAGAAAAAGTTCAGCACTAATTTTATCCCCAGGCAAACATCCTCCCCAACCTTTCCATCTCCGTATAAATGACTAGAATGAGGTGGCACCATGGCGAGCACATCTGCATTTATGCAAGGACGGGATATGGAGAGGTGGCAGTGATGGCGAACGCCCCATCCATTTTAAACAGAGCCCCCTATATAAGGGGTGTCTCACCTGGCATCATCACCTGGATGAAAGGAGGAAACGCTCAAGCAGCTCCCAAGCAGCTCTCCTGGCAGGAATGGCTCCAGGTACTTTGCTTTACCTCAGCTTTAACAGACGTGCCATCAAAGCGCTTTGGGTGGTGGGACGCGATGGTGGGGTGGCGCTGGGGGGGCTCTGAATTAAAACTTGGCAGCTTACAGATCAGTGACAAAGGACATCTTTCCCTACAGCGCGACTTCATACCACAAACAGTCAGGTAACCCTGAGCCCAACCTTGGCAAGGGGCAGGAATGAGCTGCAGAATACAGAGAACGAGGCAAAGCAGAGTTGTAACAGTTATTGCTATCATATGTGCTGCCAGGGATATGAAAACTCAATTCCAAGGCTCTGAACAGAGAGCAGGGTGATGTCTAATCGTAGACCCTCAGAATGGCCTGGGTTGAAAGGCACTTCAAAGATAACAATTCAATCCTGCACTTGTGCAAGTCCTGCAGGCTCCAGAGCATTCCTCCACTCCAGTTCACCTCCACTGAGATTAACCTGTGTAAGTGGGCACTGGTGTGAGCTGATGTGAAGGGTTAATAACCTTCAGGCTTGGCAGTGACCTCCAGATGCTAGCTGTGTCCCAGGGAGCCACAGCGCAGGCAATGCAACCACCTCTGGTCCCAGTGGAGGCAGTGCAGTGGCAGCAGCATGGTGCAGAGGCTCAGCTGAGCCGTTCCCACTCCTCACCCACTGCTCTCCGTCCTGTTTGCTCAGGCACCAAAGGGCGCCCCGTGCTCTGCTCGGGAAGGTGAAACCTACCGAAAAACATGAGGGGAAAACAAAGGGATGAACTCCAGTTTCCATGGAGCAACAATGACTCCTGAGCATCAGGGGCGCACACAGTGAGAGGGGATGGGGTTTTGTGGGGGGCTGCACTCACAGGTGGGCGCAACACTGATCCCAGGTGCCACCAAAGGACAGGTAACCCCTCTCCTGTAACCCCTCTCCTCTGCGCTCTGCTGCAGGCTCGTGGTTTTCTCCTCTCCTCGTTGCTGTGGTCACGTTGGGACTGCCGCAGGGCGCTGCTGCCACCTTCCCTGCCATGCCCCTCTCCAACCTGTTTGCCAACGCTGTGCTGAGGGCTCAGCACCTCCACCTCCTGGCTGCTGAGACGTACAAAGAGTTCGTAAGTGTTGGCCGTCTTGTTAGCTTGATGTTGCCAGGAGCGCGCCGTGGCTTCCCACCCTGCGTACATCCCTGCAAAGACTGAGAAGCAAAGACTTCTCAGCTGTCAGTGTCTCCTGAGGAGGAGGAAGGGTCTGCATGGGGCAGGACAGCTGATGACCAAACAGCCCGCCCTCCCCACGGCTCTCTGCCTCCTCCTGCAAGGAGTCCCCTCCTCCTGTCCGTGTGTTCTGTGCTCACCTCAACCCTCTGCCTCAGTGAGAGCAGATCCATAAGTCCAGCAGTGCTGTGCTCCGCTTTCCCACCTGCACAGAGATGCACATCGTGTGCCACGTTTCCTTCTTGCAACCTGCCAGGAAAGAGAGAGGAAAGAGTCCGTGCTCTTCTCTCGTCTTCTACACGCTCTGAGTGTCTCTGGGGTGTCTCCACAGGAACGCACCTACATTCCGGAGGACCAGAGGTACACCAACAAAAACTCCCAGGCCGCATTTTGTTACTCGGAAACCATCCCAGCTCCCACAGGGAAGGATGACGCCCAGCAGAAATCGGTGAGTCGTCTCCCCCCAGCACACACAGCGCTGTTCTATGGAACACAGGGTTTCCACCTCTCCTGGGATTCTTCCTTTTCACACCCTGCGTGCAGAAAGACACGGGTCGGGCAGGAAATCCTATTCCCCCCCTAAATAAAGTCTTCAGAACAGGGACTCAGGTCTGAGTGGTGGCGCTCAGCTCCTCCGGGCTGCTTCAGGGAGAGCAGGGCATGCAGCAGCACTGCAGGAACACCGCACTGCACAGCTCTGAAATCCTTTGGTAATTTCAGGACATGGAGCTGCTTCGGTTTTCACTGGTTCTCATCCAGTCCTGGCTGACCCCCGTGCAATACCTAAGCAAGGTGTTCACAAACAATTTGGTTTTCGGCACCTCAGACAGAGTGTTTGAGAAACTAAAGGACCTGGAAGAAGGGATCCAAGCCCTGATGAGGGTAAGTCTGC